GAGATGTTCCTGAAGAGGTTCTATTTAAATCCTGAACTCACAGTGATTAAGCTTTGACTGTCTTTGCACTATAAAATTGACAAAAATGTTGGCTTGGTGGTTTGCCTAAATACAACCCTAAAAGGCTAATTGCACGCCTAAAAAGCTTTATAAAAAATACCGTCCCTGCTCTCAGCATAAACCATTAACTGCTTTCCAATAATTGATCTTAAACACTCACCTGACAGTTAAATACATATTCTGGAGATTCTTTCTGATATTTGATGTTCCATACGAGTGCCACACCATCAGGCTCATGTGGGGCATCTTCATTGTTGTTATATGAAGCTACCAACAGCTCTGGGTACTAAACTAGATATTTATGTTACTTTGTTACTATTGGGGTGTAACACAAAGGGATGCTAACAATTATGTTTCCCAACAAACACTGGGTAAGTTACATTTGTACCTGTTCAGCTGTATGCACTGCTCTCATGTGAATTTATTTTTTTACTTAGTTGAAAGATAATGATAATCGCAGTTCACAAACACATATCCCAGAACAAATCATTTTGCAAGTTTACCCATACTTAGTCCCTCCAAATACAAAATTATTGTGAGCACTTGAGCTCAATAATTCCTTTGACTGTGGTGGAGCATAAGACCTTGAGTAACATGAGAGGTCTGTAAGGTAGTCTAACACTGATATGACGGCCAGGCTCCGGTTGTTCAAAGGGCGGATAATGCTATCCAACGATTAAATCGCTATCCAGCGGATAAGTGTTACCAGAACGTACTGCGCTATCCACCGGACAGCGATTTATCCAGTGTATAGTGTTATCCGTCCTTCGAACAACCGGAGCCAGAACCCTAGCAAACCTCTTCCCCATCCATCTCAAATCTTCCTTCGGCAGAAAGCAGCACTAATAATGGCAGCCTACTTCAGTCTTGGGTTAAAGTACATGTAGCTACAAGAGGTACATTTGCAAGTTGCAAGAAATGGAGGGGGCCCCCACCCTCTTTCTTGCAGTTCTGGAGTTGCTCTGCCGGGTGCCACAACTTCTCCAATAATTGTTCAACAAAATTAAACAATTTTAAATTTATCTATTGCCAAGGGAAGAACAAAAAAAAAACATTTCCATTATCCTTCAGTACCTGTGTTGACCAATCAAGGCAAGTCACTGTCCTGTGCCTTGACCACCTCTCGTCAAAGAACTCTCTGCTGAATGAGAGTTTACCAGATGCCTGCGTATCTCTGTGACAGGAGAGAATCTAAGGATTAACTTCATAAATCTAAACCAATGTAACCACAAGCCCTCAACCCAAGCAGTGCACAAGGTAAATGAACAGAAGACTTCTACATGCCAAATAGCCCAACATGTCAACCAGAGCTTAACCTGCTTTTGTAAGCTTTAAACCTTTAACTCCAACAAGAGATCTTAACCCTATCGCTCCCAAGATCTTCTTAAGAATTCTCCTTACTGTCTGCCATACAATTCTTATGTAAGTTTGGAGAATTTGGTATCGGATCAACTAAAAAATACCCTTATTGATAGTTTTCTTTATTCTCATACTTGTTTGCTTGATATTGTATTGACATTGTAAGCGCTTTGGTCAATTAGTGGAGTTAGCGCTATATAAATTATATTAAATTAAATTAAATTAGGGAGAAATTCTGTTTTAGTCACTCCTGGGAGTTACAGAGTTAACCTGTAACTCCAATCACAAATCTTAGACTGAAACAATATTTTGCAAACAGATTATGAGAACAGAGAAGCCTGTCAGCCAGTGGGTTTTTATCTTGACTAAAAATGGAACCCCATGTACTGTTTATGGAGGAACACACGGCAGTCATTGTTTAGTAATAAGTAATAATAATACAAATGTAAGTAATTGGATCGTGGGAGTTAACTGGTTCTGTGATTACAATATGTGTGTCACTTCTCCTTATGGATTAGACAATCAAGAGCTTCTTAAATTCTCATTAATTTTCCAGGGCTCAACACTAACAGTAGCCAACTAGCCAAAGACTAGTAGAAGTTCAGTTTTGCCTTGTGGTTTTTTATGTCCACTGGCCAGTTTGGCTAGTAAACAAACTGAACTTGTCGTAACAACTAAGTTGTCACTAGCCACTTGGCAAGTAAGTTGAAAAGTTAGTGTCAAGCCCTGATTTTCTTTCTTCTCACAGTCTTAGTGTTTGATTAGGAGGTGACGCTGTTACGAGAAATTAGATAGTTATCAGTCTTGGGGTTACCAGAAAGAAAACCCACCCTTCAGTGTCCTCTGTTTCAGCACCAGAGTAGTCAAATGTAATGTCAACTGTTTCACACAAGGCTCTCTCCATCATTCTTGTTGCTTTTTCAAAGAACTTATTGAATTCTCCAGAATTCAATATGTGTTCCTTCTGTTCATCCCTGAGCTCTATGACAGGCACTGTAAAGAAAGTAAAATAATTATAATCAAAATCCAAAGGCTTCAGGTTTGATTCCTCAAAGGGACCGAGAATTTTTTCTTTTTTTTATCCCATACTCTTGACAAGACAAAAACATCTTTCTCTTTTTCTTCAACAAGCTCAAAATATACCATCCTTCTTATTGTATTTACAAACATGACACTATCGACATTGCTGATCTTGACAGGATGCAGGAAGCATGTCACACAGCATATCAATTTCATAATAGCCTTGCTCACCATGGAGTCTCTGTTGATCAATGGTACTACAAAGGTCTGAGGTTTTATTAATTCCTCACAGGGACTCAGAGTTTTTTCTTTCTCCCACACTCATGATAAGATGAAAAACATCTTTCTCATGTAATGTAATGTTTCCTGGTTCAATTCCTAGAGGGTTTCTTCTGGTTCAAAAATCAAAAACATGAAATAGCTAACAAACTGAATACATTAGTCACCCTCTGAACCCAGACCAGATGAATTGAAAGCAGCATCTTATAAAATTAATACTTATTAATAAATAACCTTCTTCTCTTCCATCTTCTCCTCCATCTTCAGGTTCAGGTTGTGCTTCAGTCTCCTTTGGCTTTGACGCAGCTGGAGTCTCAAATTCATCTATAAAAAAAAAGAAAACAAATACAAAGTGAGTAATTTTAAAGAAAATGTAGTTCAGTTCAAGTTAACCATTCAAGTTAAACAACATAGAGGAATGAAGAAGTCAGTGAATGATGGTTTTGAATATGTTTTCATTTCATCAGCCATCTTTAAGTATCCAGTATGATGCCCGAGTCCAATCCTGCCTCTGTCTCCTATCATTTGTTTGTGGGCTCATGAATGAGTTAAAAGGAAATTATGCCAGCTCTGATAGAGGTACACTGTAATTGATTTAAGAACTGACTGGTCTCCTTCAGAGTTTACTGGACATCAAAAGCTCATAGGCAATTGGAATTGTCAGGTTGGCCTGATGCACAAAGTGCCTTCTCTTTGTTGAACACGTTTGCAGTATACTCAATTGATTGACACCCAGTATATTTATTGAATAGCTGTATGTATGATGGTGTTTTTCACAATTTCTTGAATGGTCAGTGGTAATAATATTCCACTTTCATAAATGGCTGCCAGATTAATATTCTTTTGTTTAAATTTAAATTAGCCCTACTGGCCTCGTTCTCCAGTACAAAATTCAACAGAATACATTATCTCAAGCAAGGCCAGAAGGGCTAATTTAAATTTAAAAAAAAGAATATTTATATGGCAGCCATTTATGAAAGTGGTCTATATTATATCTACAGGCAATTACTCCTAGCACCCTAACTTGTGGGTACCCTAAACAACACAATACCCTTTATATCTACAGGCAATTACTCCTTGCACCCTAACTTGTGGGTACCCTAAACAACACAATACCCTTTATATCTACAGGCAATTACTCCTTGCACCCTAACTTGTGGGTACCCTAAACAACACAATACCCTTTATATCTACAGGCAATTACTCCTTGCACCCTAACTTGTGGGTACCCTAAACAACACAATACCCTTTATATCTACAGGCAATTACTCCTTGCACCCTAACTTGTGGGTACCCTAAACAACACAATACCCTTTATATCTACAGGCAATTACTCCTTGCACCCTAACTTGTGGGTACCCTAAACAACACAATACCCTTTATATCTACAGGCAATTACTCCTTGCACCCTAACTTGTGGGTACCCTAAACAACACAATACCCTTTATATCTACAGGCAATTACTCCTTGCACCCTAACTTGTGGGTACCCTAAACAACACAATACCCTTTATATCTACAGGCAATTACTCCTTGCACCCTAACTTGTGGGTACCCTAAACAACACAATACCCTTTATATCTACAGGCAATTACTCCTTGCACCCTAACTTGTGGGTACCCTAAACAACACAATACCCTCTGTCCCGACTGGTACTAACCTTGTGGTTCTTCTGGTTCTGCATTTTGAGTTTGTGTTTCTTTGCTATACAAAACTGGTTCCTGATGAAAGTGTATAAACCGATTTTGCAAATGTCAAAATGGAAAAGACACAACATTCTTATATTTGCATACGCTACATGAGATTTCTTTTCATATTATGCCTTAGATGTAAAATTTACAATAAACAGTTCTTTTACTGAAACAATGATGGTACTGACCTTTGGTGGAATATTTGTCTGAGTGAGCTGTGATACACCCAATTTCACTGGCCTTTTCTTCTCTCTAAGGAGAGATCATCCATTTGATAAACAATAAATTGAGTTGACTAGTAGAAAATTAGCCTTCTTTGCCTAATCTATATGTAATTCAAAAAAAGTTAAAAAGAAGAAAATAATATTCAGAGGCAGCATCTTTTTTACTTACTGCTGTGCCAAAGGCCTTGATGTTACATCTTTGCTTGGGCTGGCTCCTTCACTTTTAGTAGATCTTGGTACAAGAGGAGACACTATTGAAAGATGTACATTGTAATTCTAATTAATTGTAATTGTACACAATATTGGCAACAAAAGCACCCAAAATGGGATAACAAGGTTTCTTGACAAGAGTGAATGTAACATGCTATAGTTGTCAAACAGAGCTTAAAGTCTCAACAATTGAGTGCGAAACTCACATAAACAAATTGAATCTCATGCTCTCACACTGAAGCTTATTTGTATTACTTCTCATGCCTTTAAGGTTTCTGATTTAAACTGCTGATTTTGAGATAGCAAACTCCTATGATTTCAAGTTAAGTCCCTGCAAAACTAATTATTAAAATAAATAATTTGTTATAATTTTCTCCTTGTTCCCTTTGCACCTGCTTCAAACACTTTCTTACAATGGAAATTCTCAATGTTACATCACCATTACACATGCTCCCGTGCTGACCACAGACCAGTACCATGGTCTCTTTCCATACATGTATATGCTCACAAAAAGGGAAGGTTCACAAAAAGGAAAGGCACACGTTTTAATTAGTTTATTCATTTCTTCACAAGTTTCCCAATGAGCATACAAATATACCTCATACAGGTATCCCTGTAGATTCAAACCAAAACAGCTGGTATGATGCACAGTCTACAAGATGACTGACAATTTGAAACAAAGTCATAACTTGGTTGGTGGCTTTGGAACGTGAATGTTTCCATGTTATTGACAAGGTCGACAAAAGAAAAGACTATTATATAGTAAAGACTTATTAGATTTGACATGAAGCAGACCTGCAGTGCCATCAATTACATCATCAGGTATAATTCCCTTCAGCAGCTCATCAGCTTCTCTCTTTTTTCTCTCAATATCAGTCTCTTTGGGTTCTGTTGATGCAGAAGTAGCACTAGCACCACCCTTTGGTGCGGCAGCTGTCTTACTTTGCTCTTGTTCATGCTGTAAGTTATAAAAATTGAAAATGAAAACAAATAGAAAGTGGTACAACAAAGCTGGCATGAGGTAGAAAAATCTGATTGTAACCCAAGGGTTTCAACAAAGTGCATGATAGACAGTTTACAGTAACCATACCTCAGAGACTCCTTACTACTGTTATAACATCTCTACAGCCTGTGAGCAAGATCTCATTAGCAATTCTCCTTACTGTTTGCTATACAATACTCATGATGTTACTTTGGAGAATTTGATATTGGATCAACTAATAATCCCTAATTTAATAATAATTATTATTTACTTCCATTAGTCTCATCACTTGTCATCTTGATAATGCCTTGCACTGTAAGGAGAAATTCTGTCTTGGTCACTTTAAGAAGTGAAAGGGTCAAAGAAAAACTAACTGAACCTCTGAATTATCCCACAAGGATTCAGACCCTTCAGCCAGATCTGATTTCAAATTGGATGCTCCAGTGCATAATTAAGCCACAGAGAATTATCTAATAACTGCGTTCATTGGTGAGAAATGTGCTGCATACCGGTGGTACAAGGAAAAGCAACCCATGCAGAGATATATATACAATCGAACCTCTTTTGTTCAAACTCGTTGAGACTTGGGTAAAAAGTCCGGATAACCAAGAGTCCAGATAATGAAAAATACGAATATTCGTGAGAAAAAAATGATGAAAGGAATAAAGATAATACATTTTTAATTCTAAAAGTCTGCTTGATTGACTACAATTATACAAAGTTTACATGTACGAATTGCACCTATTTTTAACCACCTGCCAGTTAGCTCAATTGGTTAGAGCGACGGACTGTTGTGCGGGAGGTTGAGAGTTCGAGCCCCAGATGGACCAACACTCATGGTCTTAAAATAACTGAGGAGAATGTGCTACCTTTCTATAATATCAAGAAATGGATAGACAATCTAGTCTTCTCGGATAAGGACGAATAAACCGTAGGTCTCATCTGCAGCATCTATTAATTAGTTAATTTGATTAGGCAAGGGAAGTTAAAGAACCCACTCAAGAGATTACTGTGATGTGGTCTGGCCTGTTTACTGGGAATTGGGGGGTAGCTTGCAAACATGTCTGTTATATATGTTGCAAGATGAAATATGTAAATGTAAACGTAAACCTATTTGTTGTTTCTAAAATAATGAAGCATACTAGCTTGCTTCAAAGTCTTATGACGAGATCACATGGCGAAGTTGATCTTTTGAAAGCAAAGTAGACAATGTGCTGTTTGAAAAGCACTTTTCCTGACTTTATAAACATAATCTCTGAATTTTTTACCTCTTAAAATTTTGAAGATCAAAGCTCATTAATATTCATGAAAAAAACGGGACCAGAGAAAAAGCCCGGATAATGGAAGTCTGGACAATTGAGGTTTAACTGTAATTGATAAATTATTGCAGATTTCAGTCTCTACCATGAGCATAACCACTAAAGCAAGACAGCCATAACAATATGAAGACAAATGTGGGAATGTTATAATAATAAGCACCTCAACCTACCAAAAAGTTTTGATGAGACAAAAAAAGATTAATTTGATATAGTTTGTGTACAGAGTATTTCATGATTAAGTAATATAAAACCAAAACCACAATAATCATAAAAGTCAATCAGAAAGAAACAGCAAACATGGTATTGCCCAAATGAAATTGTAGAGACAGCAGTTTGTATACAGAGTCTTTCATGATTAAGATACATAAAACCACAATAATCATAAAGGTCAATCAGAAAGAAACAGCAAACATGGTAGTGTCCAAATGAGATTGTATGGACAGCAGAAATTGACCAAATTGAAACAGGTTTTGGTCCTCAATCTTATTTGTTGATCAAGTCTTGCTATTTTTACCAAGTGCAGAATGTAATCAAAGCAAGTCAGGATTACATTGCCAATTAAAAACATTTCAAATCTTTCAAGATGGCTATTTTGACAAATGAACAGCACCAAAAGTATTTCATTTGCTAATACTGTATATATTAAATAACTTTAACTCTCTGTTCATTGCAAAGCATGCAACCTAGATGCTGGCAACTGCCTATCCAGCAACGAGAATCCATCTCCATCTAACACTAAGCGTTTCTTGAAGCGGGGTTGATGCTTTAAAAACACGGGCATATCTAGGTATATTTTTTCTTGAGAACAATATTCAACCGTGAATTGTATTCAAGAGTAAAATCAAGTAATCAAATGTAAAATCGCTCACATTCATTTAACCGCCTTGATCTATCGACAGTTTTTTTTTTCTAATTTGCGTACATACAAATACTCGTTTGTACAAATCTTACGTAGACTTTTCTTGCTGATACAATCTCGTTGTTGCACATCTTACATTTGCAGAATTAAGACTAAGCTTCAGCAATAATTGAGATCAATTATAATTCTTGAAACACCCTTACCTTTTTCTTTTCTTCTCGAGCTCGTTTGATTTCTTCTAAGCGCTTCCGCTTTCTCTCTAACTCAGCTTTTCGATCAGACATATTTCACCAAGCGATCGTGCAAGAAATCCTGACGAAAATAAGTCAACGTGTTGACAACACTGTATCTCCAAAATGGCCGACAACAACACCTTTGTGTGTTAGTACTCAGTTCTTTCTTGCAATTAAATTACCAGTTCTTACTAACAGAGAGAAGCTTGGAAACGAAGACTAGCCGAGAACGCGGCAGGAAAAAAAATGGTACTTTATGAAAAGTTGAAAACTACAAACATATAAAAAAAAAAAACCAGGGAAAAAAGCTAAGAATTCAACAACGAAAAAAAAAATTATGAATAAGGATATATAACCAAAGACCCGTGATGGCAATCTTCGATTTATTCCTTATTCATTTCTTACATACTGAGATGTACGCATGTTAGACGAACGATGTATTTTCACAGTCGTTCACCTCTAATCAATATACCTGTTTTAAAGCTTGGAGAAGCATTTTCTAAAGCACGGTATGGCCAATAAAATAAGAAAGATTGCAAATGGTAATTTATTTGTTTGTCCTAAGTTTAGGACAAAAAACGAAAAACACCTTTCTTTAATAAATAAGATCACACCAGAAATTAGGACCTGTTCACAGGTCGAGTTTACATAAACACCTTTCTCATAATATTTATTAACATTAAGAGGGAGAATTTAAATCTGTATCGGTTCATATTTATGGTTTTCAGAGGACCATGATACCAGAACTCGGTATTCCAAAATTTTTTGAGCCGTTCTAAAGAGATTAAACTTGCGGTTTTTTTTTTTTTTTTCCTCTCATTATTCAGTGAGAACGCTTTTCTAATAATTTTCAACGACTTTAAAACAGACGAAAGCTTAGTGTTGTTTATCCACTACCTTCGTGTGTGACCTGTTCGATGGGAAAAAAATTCAGCCAATCAGATCACGGTGTTTGCTTATGGTAAAAGATCTTTATAGGTATTCTTAAATAGGCTCAGCAGAGGTGGAAAAGCAGGCCTCCTTCAGGTCAAGCCTTGGACATATATCATAGTAAACATGCCCCTGACAAGTTATATCCGCAAGCCTCGAGCGCAATAACAGACTCACGAATAAATATAATTTATCTTGATAATTAAAGCAATTTCAAGACATCCCAACCATGTCCTTTAAACTTACAAGTTTAAATAAAATTACAACACAAAAATTCTACTCGAATTATCGCAGACTTGACCAAAATGATCTCAAGGTCATGTTTCTGAGTTTAAAAAATATCGCAGAAGCATAAGAGTTGAATTCAGCCATAGGATAGGACAAAAACCCTTTGGTTGAAGAGGTGTAGGAACAGCTGCTTTAAGGCTAATACATGTGTTCAAATAAAGCTTTAATTAAAAGTTCTCTCTTTATTCTTCCCTCCGTGACATTGATATCTAAACAGGAATCACTAGGCATGATTGATATCACTTGCAAATGAGGCGGGAAAAGGCATCTTATTTAAATATATTTCGCAATTTATAAGTTCAGATTGCTGGTGACCTACGCAACTGACAGGTCAAAAAAGAGAGGACAAAGTCGTAGACCAGAATTTTTTGACACGAGGTTTAAGGATATATGGTACATCATGGAGTGTATATGTATATTTATATGAAAAGTCAATCGAGCTCACAGCTTCGATGAAGAGCCAGTTGTGTGAAGTACTAGTACAGCAAGTGAACCGCATGCAGACAGTAACTGAGGAGATTAATGGTCGGTAGTTGGATCTTCCTCGACTTTCTAGCGTTTTTGTGTAGTTTTTGGTAGCAGCAGGTATGGGGAACTAATTGAGAGCTCATTTAAGTGAAAACTTTTGTTTGATTTTTTTTTTCTTCAGCATAATGGATCTAAACATAAGCAGTTGGAAAGCGGCAAGAGATCTACTAGAGCGACCGATGTACCTCGTTGTTATCGAAACGATTATTTTAGCCCTTATCTTCATTATATCAACAACTGGCAACATTTTCTCGTGTTTAATCATGTACACGAGCCCTCGTCTTCGCACATGGCACAACTTGCTTCTTCTTAACGTGATATTTGTTGATTTGATGGCAACTCTTCTTTGCGTTCCTTTCCGTTTGGTTGTTCTAATAACGGGACGGTGGATTGTCGGAAATGCTCTTTGTTCCATGGTCGCCTATGTGAGCTGTCTTCTTCTGACAGTCTCTATTATAACTTTAGCAGCGATAAGTATCAGCCGATATTTCTTGATAACGAGCCTTCTAAGATACATGAGCGTTTTCAAAAAGCAAAACATCACGTGGATGATAGTGGTAATCTGGAGTTTCGCCGTGTTGTGCGCTTTTCCGCCTTTTTTAGGATGGGGAGATTTCCTCTTCTTACCAGGAAACGCCATGTGTTTCATATACTTTGGTTCAAATTTGTCATACGCTGCGGTTTTCACGCTTTTAGTGATAGGTCTGCCAGTTTTTGTTATCATTGCATGCTTTGTGAAGGTGAAGCTTCTGATCAAGATAAACAAACGTATTAAGTCGTTCACGTCGGTGACTTCCATCGCGTCTGAGGAAATCGACTCGGCCAAAACTCTGTTTTCAGTAGTAATTATGGTACTTCTGTCCTGGTTTCCAATGTTGCTCTTATTTTTTCTCGCAGCGATTGGGATAGAAATGCCAAGACAAGCTTCACTGATGTCAACATATTGCATATTTCTGACATGTGCGCTGAAGCCCGTTATCTACTTCTGCATGAGGAGACAATTCCGGACTGGATTTCTTGCTATTTTAAATAACCTTTTACCTGATGTATTCAAAATAAGACGGAGTAATCGTGTTGCTCATAAATCATTAAGTTAGAGCTCATGCAGAAAATAGGCAAAGCTCTCTAACTCACAGCGGAAAACTTAATCAATTTAAACTCAAACAAGAGTCTGCCGAATTCGAAGAAACAAGGAAGATGTAGAATTTAACTACTTGTCTACCTATTAAGCTATAAAACTACTATCATCTTAAGGTCTTAAAAGAGCTTTCGATGTTAATTTAAGAGTCTAAATGCATGCATTCAGCTTTTAACAGTCCTTCAGGAAACTGGTTCTGAGTAACCGAGAAACTTGTCAAAGACAGTAAATTGAGATTTGGTAAAAAAAAATTATATCCGTGGGCTGGTAAGCTGGCAACGAGCCTACTTGGCTGACATCTATCGGAAAAGCGGTGTTTTTGCGGACATAATTAAAACTAACAGCT